TTCAAGTCAGAGGCAGGGGAGGGAGGCTCGCTTCTCCTCCGCTGCTCCCCACCCCACCCCCACCCCCACACTCTAGACCTTCATTAATGCATCCAAGATTTGCTTCCCTTTTCCATCCGCCAAGGCCCCCTGCCAACTCGCAGCCCTTTAAAACCTCAAGCAGGAAATATCATCCATCTCACAACATCCTACATCCTGACTGGCATGAGAAAGAACTACTGGGCCTCCCTTTCAGCGGGCCTGGGAGTGCTGAGGATTCACTGGCCCAGTAAACCACACTGGGGGCCTCTGTGGGCTATACCCTAGGTAGTCACCTGTCCTCATAGGTCTCACCATCTGAAGGGGCTGGGACCACACGCCTTTTGTGGGAGATGCTGGGGTTAGGGTCTTGGCTTTGCTGAGGAATGGGCACCTCTTGGTAGTACTTCCTCCAAGTGATTGGGCAACAACTCTGTGGCCATGAGAAGCTCCTCTCAGGCTTGGGTTTGTATCCCTGATCCCCACCCAAGATCCTCCAGGTCTCGTTGTAAAACAAAATGACTGGACTTGCTGAAGCCCAAATAGCTGCTTATTCTGAAGTGTATGGGGTCTGAACAACTCTGGGGGAACTGTCACCCTTATTTTATAAATGGGGAAGTGGGGCTCAGAGAATTGTCCCAAGTGGGTGCCTTGCATTACTACAGAAACAACCCATTTTGTCTCCAGGTTCTTCGGCTCTAAGAAGGGTCTCAGCAGCTCTTATCCCAAAACACACATATGAAAACTATTTATTCATTTGTTGGTTTATTTAACAAATAGGTCCTGGGGAACCTAAGATGCCCAATCCCTGGCTTGTCCTCCTGGAAGCCCCTGATTTGATGAAGACAAATCCAGACGCATGTGGGATCAGGGCTGGGCCAGAAGAAGGGGCCAGGATATTGAAGCTGAGGCTTTGAAGGATGTATAGGAGTTCACCAAGAGGCATTCCAGTGGAGAAAATAACAAACGCAACAGCATGGAGGGGAAGGAAAACAGCCGTTTTCAAGGAACTGCACACAGTTTATTTTGCTGAAAAGTAGAATTTGGAGAGTGAGTGATTTATGAGGCTAGGGGATGTGGGGCCAGACTCTGTAAAGACATTGAATGCAAGGCTGAGATGGAGGGTGTGCGAGGAGGGAGCGGAGAGGTCAGATTCATTGTCGTGTGGTCCCTCTTTGCCCTGAGTTGAACTTGGCTAGTTGCTTCCCCTCGGAGCCTGTTTCCTCATCAGGACATGAGTGTGCAGAGACCCCCCTCACATGCACGCACATTGGGGTCACTTGGGATTGTGCACCAGTGGACATTGCCAGAGATCCTGCTTGGGGCTGTTTGCCCTCCATATACCAGTGCGATTTCATCATTACCCAGAATCTGCTTCCTCCAGTATCCACGGAAAAGCCACATGTTTTCATTGGCCAAGACCCAAGAGCCTCGCCCTGAGGTACATCTGCCAGGTATAGAACCTCTCAGCTCTTCTCTGCCTCAGTGACTTCTGCCCTGCTTGTCATCTCCAGCCACATGAGCCTCTTCACAGCTCCTTAACAACCACCCAGGCTCAGCCCTGTCACAGGGCCTTTACACTGCCAGTTTTTCCACCTAGGATGCCCTATCCTCCTGCTCTTCCCCTTGGTTCTCCCTGACCTTCAGACTCAGCCCGAAATCACCTCCTTAGAGGGGCCCTAACCTCCCAGCTAAAACACCCTGCCCCGGCTCTGCTTCTCTCTGCAGCTGTCAGCACATTGGACAAATCTACTCATTTCTCTCCTGTCCATCTCCTCAACCAGCCTAGAGCCCCAGAAGTGGGACCCGATGTCTTACCCCAATAGCTGTGTCCCCATGTGACACTCACTGGTGTTCGTTGCCTAAGGTAAAAATACTAATGATGACCCACCTAATAGCAGCCA